TGTTCTGAGGATGGGCAGGACAATCTACTTAAAATAAATTGCTGGCAAGTTCCGGGTGAACATAAGATGGCATTTGTTTTGTAGGAAGTGGGATGATGAGAAGCAGCAGCTCTGGAACACACAGTCCTGGGTCTAAATTGGACTTTGACATTTTCACCTTTGTGACCTTGGGGAAGTTGGTTAATGTCACTGAGGCTTAGTTTCCCTTCTATTAAGTAAGAATAAATCTTTTCATACAGTTTTAAGAGGAACCAGTGGGTGTATATAAAGCTTTGTATATTATGGGACACATGGCAGGTGCTCAATAAATACCAGCTATTGTTGTGTGGGTATGGAATTTATAATGTGTATTACTTTTGTCCCCAGTAAACTTGTAAACTCTATGGAGGGTTCTAAAACAATAATTTGGAAAAAAAAAAAAAGCAGTTGATCTAACAGTTTATCATCTGAACTAAAGAATTTCAGATCACCTATTTGGTGATCTAATTAGGAAACGAAGGCAGCCAGAATGTACCAAGGAAGACAGTAGGAGGTTGGCTTGCTCCGCATGCTCTTATTTCAGTTCCATTAATTGAATCCTTGACTGGGCAGGGTCTTCCATGTAATTTGTTGTCGTGGTTACAGTGTAAAGTTTTGGAAATTAGCAGGTGACCCTAAATCTTCAAAAGAGGATTGGCCTTATTTATATGAGTAATGTGTGTGGGAATTGTAGGTGTCACCCACCTTGTAAATATCAGAAGTATGTCCAAAGTAAAGAAAATTAAGTACAGAAAAAGTGAAGTGAAAATTATGGGTCAATTAAGAGCTTTTTATTTTTATTTTTAAAATTAAAAAAAAATTAGTGTAGATGGACATAATATTTTTATTTATTTATTTTTATGCGGTGCTGAGGATCGAATCCAGTGCCTCACGCATGCATGAGAGGCATGTGCTCTACCACTGAGCTACAACCCCAGCCCAAGTGCTCTCTTCTTAAATTTGTTTCTTTGAGTTCATTGCAGGTAGGACTATTATGATATGAATAGTTGTCCACGTTTTTAAAAAAGAATTTATGTACCCCTCCAGTGGACCAAGTATTTGGAAGGACTGGTTAAGAGGATCTAGCAGAAAAATAGGATTTGCCATAGAAATTACCCTACTCTGTTAACTCTGGACAATGTTCCATTGACTACCACTTGCTTTTCTCTTTTCAGAAGAGAATTCATGGAAGGGAAAATAAACTGTATAGGAAGGGTAAAAAATGAAACTTACTAATATGATTCAGTGTTTCTTTATTATAAACTTTTTGCATATTCCTTTCATTTCAGATTATTCCAGATTCCATTTTTTTCCCTATGGATTTAAGATCATAAATTCACTTTTAAGTCTCACTGTTTGCTCAGATGGTTTTATATGTCTTTGATGTATAAGTGTCTCAATAGATTGAATTTTACAAAGAGGAATCTTCACTGCTGATGAACACACATTCACAATCCCACGTGTGTCCAGCTCTGGGCCAGACACTGTGGATGATACAAGAAGAGGTCTTCTCGATCCAGGACTGTTCCCTGCCCTTAAAAACAAACAAGTGACTCCTTCCCTCCTCTGGGCACTATCTGTGACTCTAATATCTTATCTTAACACATTCTTAGTCTAACACTTGGACCAGGAAGCTTGGGACATGGCTATTTATAAAGAAAGGATTACTCTTGTTTTTTTGGGGGGTATTTTAATATCTTTGGGCTCTATAAGCTTGGGAAACAAATCTGTCCTTATTTCTGATATCAGTTTTCCTGAAGTGACAAAGGTCTTATTTCTCTTTGTTGCTTTTGATTGTTGCAAATTTTCTGAAGCCCAAGGATATTTTAGTGCAATGTTAGCTGCAAATTAGATGACTCTTTCTCCTCCAACCAAAGAATGTAAGCACTGTGAATTCTACATCAGTACAATAAATGAACTCAAAGTTTGGGGAAGGAAAAAAAATTGGATTTTTATGTTTGATTTTGAGTTTATTTTTTTTTGTGTGTGTGTGTGAAAGGGTTAGGGTGTGCATAGGTTCTAGAACCTAGGACTGTCAGGTTCAAATCCTTATTTTGCACGTATTTGCTTTGCAGCTGGGAAATTTACTGACTGCTCTGTGAAATGTTCATAATAATGGCATCTATCTCATAGGGCTGTTATAAGCCCCTTGTAGGGCTTGTGAGTAAGGGCTACTTATTTAAAACAATATACTAAGGAAATAAAGTATGTACAAACCCACTGAAACCAGGGTCACCTGAAATTGTTATCAAGTCTAATCCAGGCCTTTTTATTAGCAGTTTATTTTTAAACAACGTATATTCCCTTTATAATAAAATGAATGAAAGGCTTCTGACACCAGTGAAACATTTTGGATGGTTGCTGAGAGGCCACCCAGAAGTGATAAAGTATCTGTTTGTTTTTTCTGGAGAGAGATTTTCAAACAATAGTCATTTGGGAGTTCTAACAGGCATGGAAGTTACCATTGAAAAGGTGAATTTGACAAATGAATTATCATGGATCTGTTGATACATTGAGTAAATTGGATGTGATCTATTACTTTAGATAATGGAGTGATTGTGAGCTCAGCTGTGAAAATCACTGCCTATAAAGACTTACCTGATTGCAATATTTCCCACCAGTTTCAATTTTTATATGTATGATTTTAGAAAATTGGCCTTTTAGTGTTCTGAAAAACCAAACCAAACCAAAACAAAAAAACTTTTGGGTCCCTATTTTGTATTCTTCTCATGATGTATTTAACCTGGTATCTGAGCTAAAAACAAGCAACAAAAAAACTTTCCAATTTGACTTGTGATAAAAAGAAATAGTATTAATATGTATTTTCAAAACAGGCAATATATCATTCTGGGAATTTTCTTTTATATACTCAATTTCTGAGATAGTACTTTTCTTTTTCCCACAGCAATATGAAACTCTGTATGTGGACTACCCTTTACAGTTATAATTTTTCAATCAGAACTGATTAGATACTAAGAGAGACAAATGTACTGAACTTACAAATATATTATGTTGGATTACTAACAATAGACCTAATTGGTAAAAGTGACTTAATATATGTTGTGTTAATAGCTAAGCCTCTAAAGCCTCTAATCTCCCATGGAAATATTGCTTTGTAGAACAAAATCCAATGAGAAGTTCTGGGATTCCAGAGTGAATTTGTACATTCCTTAGGGGCATTTTTGCAAGGGAGGTTGTTGTGTTTTAAAGGTAGTTGATAAGAGACCTGCACCACCAACCCCAGACCTGCACCACCAACCACCATCATGCATTAGTCTATAGAAGGTATTTGGGTGTACGTGCTTCTGTACCACTCGGTACCACCATTTAGCCAAGGGAAGTTTCTGACCATTTGCAGCATACATTATAAATCAGGATGTCACTACCAGACAATCAGATTTGAACATTCCATGAACAAAGTAGCCCATATTCCCTAGGAATAGATCACTTAACTATGTTTATGTCCTGTTGTTGATATGCCTGCATTTACCCAAGTCAGAATAACACATTGTTTATTTATTCTGGGAATATGTAATTGATGTGTATATTTACCTAATTTGGGGTTAATTAGCCAAAAATTGAAATGGGTAATTTAGCATGATTGCTTCAGTACAGGGGGAAAATAAAATCATTCTTCCAACTCTGAAAATTACTCCTTATCCCTTGGGTTTGTGAAAGAATAATTTTGAGTCTTCTCCAAGTTGGGCTGGTTGTTGGCTGTTTTCTTTAAAAAAAAATTTGTACTTGGCACATAATGCTTGGGAAGTTCACTGGCCAGATATTTGGGGAAGCTTGGAGGATTTCCAATTGCCAAATTAGTTCCCTGGAGAGACCCAGGGAAATTGCAGGATATATTTGCTGAATGAAATTAATTTGTTTAAGTCATGTTCTCTTTCTAATGTCAGTAGGGGATACTATTGCCACTTGGGGACGAGATAACCTTTGGTGCCAAGCTTGTACACTTATAGTTGGCTGCAGAATATTTTTTGCCTTTAAACAAAGTATTCATTTGAAGAAATTAGCTTACAGACTTGACAATTTACAAATTCATTTAAAAAAGCCAGAATATTGATCTGAATTTAAGGATGAAGTGCTGATTTGAAAAATGTAAGGTGAGAGACTCAAAAAAGCACAGTCAAGCAGATCAAAAGTTAAACATGATGTTATCAACCAGAGATAACCACTGGTAACATTTTGATCTTTTTTGACATTTTTCTTTTTTCTGTATGTGACTTTGTTAGAGGTAAAATTTGCATCCTTGTCTTTGTTTACATTACATTGTAAATATTTCTCCAAAAATAATTAGAAATTCTCATAACCATTTTCAAAAATTCATAGTAGGAGGCTTGAAATTTCTTTTATTATAAATAATGTGATAAAAATCTTTATATTTACATAAATATTTGTCTAATTCTCTGGTTAGTTCCTGAGAAAAAAATACTTAGAAAAAAAATTACTAAGGTAAAAAAGAGAACATTTTTTAAAAACAGGATGCACTTTGTCAAATTGGTCACATCAGGGTACGGTCTAATCAACTATATTATGAAAATGACCTTTCTATAGACCTCCAAGGAAATTTTTTTTATATTATCAGATGGGGTAGAGAGGGAAGATGAGAGGGAAGAGGAGGGGGGATAGTAGGGGATAGGAAAGGTAGCAGAGTACAACAGTCACTAATATGGCGTTATGTAAAAATGTACATGTGTAACCGATGTGATTCTGCAATCTGTATTTGGGGTAAAAATGGGAGTTCATAACCCACTTGAATCAAATGTACGAAAGATGATATGTCATGAGCTTTGTAATGTTTTGAACAACCAATAAAAAAGTGTTTCTAATTAAAAAAATGTTTTGCATTTCTTTGGTTACTAATTAGTTGAATATTTTTTCATTTTTATCAAAAATTTGTATTTCTTTAATAAAATGTCTGAAGCTTTAAATTTTATTTTCAAACTGTTTTTTCTGTTTCTTGGGTATTATAGAATGTGACAGTGGGAATTTTCGCTGTGGAAATGGGCACTGTATCCCTGAAGCCTGGAGGTGTGATGGTACCGGGGACTGTTCGGACGACACAGATGAAGCTGGCTGCCGTAAGTGGGGAAGGACCAGGCTAAGCTCTTTTTGATGCTTTGTGTTGATTTCAGCCTATCAAAGAAAAGAGCTATGCTTAATGATAGATCCAGGGCTGGGCTCAAATCATTTGTAATCTGTATAACTGAAAAAGAGAATCCATGGTATTAATAATAGTTTCACTCCCTTTACGGAAGATGTTCAATTTACATCAGTTTCTATCTTACCCCTGTCCCATGGCCACAACTTTGATATGGAAATTGATTTTGCCATTAGTTTTTTGAAATCTATAAGTGACTGTTGCTGATCTATTCACTCTGGAAGTTTTTCAAATCAACAAAAATAAAAAAAAATATGTTATCTGAAGTACTCTAATTTGTACTTCAATGAGGAGTCTATTCTTATATAAAAGATGTAATGTAGAGCTGGGTGTGGTGGTGCACACCTGTAATACCAGTGACCTTGGATGCTGAGGCATGAGGATCACAAGTTTGAGGCCAGCCTCAGCAACTTAGTGAAACCCTGTTTCAAATTAATAATAAAAAATAAAAACAAATGTAGTGTAATAAAGAAATAAAATAAAGAATAAAAAAGTGTTTAGTGTGATATTGTTTTTTAAAAATTCTAGTTAAAAATGTGAAAAGTAAATCCTAAATGTAAGTAATTATAAAATAACTTTTACATGTATTCATATAGCTTCCAAAATTATGCTGAGGTGGCTTTTAGATTAGGAAAGTGAGCTCTAAAGAAGTTATTGCTTATTGTAGCCTCACAGTTGGTGAGTGCCTTGCACAAGTCCCTGCCCTTCAGTCCACTGCTCTTTCTTACTTGGCTTAGGTGATCAATCACTTTGCTGTAATAGGTAAGCAGACAAGGGTTATTATCCCATGACCAGGAAAGTAGATGAAAAACCCTTGTTTTGAATTGTCCACATCCTGTGGGCACCCCAGAACTGCCAAACTTGGGTGTTTTGTTTGATGATGACTCATTTGAAAATGTAGGGAAGGGTAAGAAATTGGATCCATCCAGTGCTTCTCAAACTTTCAGGCACAAATGGATCACCTTGGAACTTGTGAAAGTGCATATTTTGACTCCATGTGTATGGGGTGGGACCAGAGATTCTCCATATCTCAAAGTTCCCAGCTGACACTTGATGCTCATACTTGGAATAGGAGAGCAGCTATTTTGTGGAGACATCATCCTGTGCTATCAGTTTGCTTCCTTTGGGCTTACTGAGTTCACTTTTTTTTTTTTTTAAATAATATGAGCAAAAAGCTCAGAGGAAGCAAATTGAGAACAGTGTAATCTAGGATAGAGGAATAAAGGAAAAGTTATACCACCAAGTCTTCTGAGAGTGTTACTACATATCAAGGTCTTATGACAACAATACCAAAGACAAAGATGATAGCAACCAGCATCATATGGCACTTTTGGAGATATTATTTATTTATTTATTTACAATGAACTATGAGATAAGAATAGTCTCCATGGAGCAACATCTCCAGTATTTTTAATTTTTTTTCTTTATTTTGAGGCAGGGTCTGAGTTAACCTGGAGCCCAGTAAATTGCTGAGGCTGGCCTGGAATTTGTGATCCTCTTTTCTCAGCTTCCCGGGTAGCTGGGATTATAGGAGTGTGCCACTGAGTCTGGCTATTCTCTGTTTTTATAATGCTTGGGTCAACAGTTTGTTTTGATGCCATTGATGAGATTATCTGAAAATGAACTTTAATAAAGTTCAGACTTCAAATATATTGAGCAGGACTTAACGTGTGTGTGTGTGTGTGTGTGTGTGTGTGTGTGTGTGTGTGATACTAGGGATTGAGTTTAGGGTGCTGAACCAATGAATTACATCCCTATCCTTTTTATTTTTTATTTTGAGACAATATCTTGCTGAATTCCTGAGACTGGCCTTGAACCTGTGAGCTTCTTGCTTCAGTCTCCCGAGTAGATGAAATTATAGAAGTGTGACACTGCCCCTGGTAACATAGTGTTTTTTTGTTTTTTGTTTTGGTAGTACTGAACATTGAACCCACAGTGCTCTACCACTGAATTATATTCCCAGCCCTTTTTATTTTATTTTTGAGACAGGTCTCACTAAGTTGTCCAGGCTGGCCTTGAACTTCAGATCCTCCTGCTTCAGTCTCCCTAGTAGCTAGGATTATAGGCAGGTGCTGCCATGCTTGGTGACATATGGTCTTTTGCAGTAAGAATGTTTTTCTGGTATAATGGGACAGATGTTTGCCATAGTGAGTTCTTTTTTGGTTGTTTCAGCTCGTCAATCCTGCCAGTCGGGTAATTTCCAGTGTGAGAGTGAAGGAAACTGCATCCCAAATATCTGGGTGTGTGACAATGAGGAGGACTGTTCGGATGGCTCAGATGAACATCAGCATTGCCGTATGTGTTTAGAGAGACATCTTATTTGGTTTTTTTGGACATTTCAATTCTAATCTGTCACAGATAGGTTACACACAATGTCATGATTCTTTGTACATAAATACTGAACTAGATATTAAGTGACCAGAGAACCTATGCCAGCAATTCAGAGGGTGAATGACATTGAAAAGGGTGAATGTACTGAAGACTTAGAAATATGTCCCAGCAATTTGGAACTGGGATAGGTTCCCAATCTTTAATTTGGTTTATATTATGTTCAAGTAAGAAAGAAAATATTTGCTCATTCGCATGGTTGGCAGTTGGATGAAATCCGTTTGCTCCAGGGGCCCTCTCTGCATTCAGTACTTTGACCTCTGTGGCCCAAGTATTAAACTCTCTTTTTTGGACTACTACAAGCTAGAGGCATTGTTGGTAGTGACTTCAGTGTTACTACCTGGTATGAGCTGCCACAAGAAAGAAAATATTAGCAATGAGTGGACCCTGGCAATGGGTGCATCCCTGGATAAGGCCCCACTATAATCTCATCATGCTCATGATTTCAGTGACCTTTTGTGGGCTGATGAGAGCCAAATCCATGCCTATACTTTAGTCTTGTGGATTAAACTACTTGAATATCTCCAAGGTGCATCAAACAAAAGGTGCCTCAACTGAAACCAGTTGTCTTCCCCCACTGAACTGACTTTTCCCACCGTATTTGCTGGTCTATGTGCTTTATCTCTATTAATAGAAATAAAATTTAGCCCACTAGAAGTTACTGGAAGATAATACAAAATCAGAAGTAGCCCAGTTGGGGCTCTTTTACTTGTTAACCTATACTTCATGAAATATATTTCATAATGTAAGTATTTCATTACATAAAAATAATTTGTAAATGACATGAAAGAGGTAATCAATTCACATGGGAAGGTTATTACAACCCCCTTGGCGACCATGCTAGAAACTTGGAAGTTGTTCTTGATTCTTTCCTCTCCTTCACCGACTCCTGCCTAATTTACCTTATAAACATTTCTAAGGTTTCTTTCTTATTTTTCATTATGTGACCACTCACTGTCAGCATCTCTCACCTGGATGGCTGCAACAGCCTCTGGATTGGCTTCTTTGCCTCCAGTCTTGTGCCCCGCTCAGGGTCTCCCCAACACTGATGAAAAGATCTAACCAAAACCCTTTGCCCACTCTCCATCACCTCTGGTTGTGATTCCTGTCTGGAAATGTCCATATGGGGCACCGTAGTGCTTGCAGTTTCCTGTTCCAGCCTTTTTCCTCCATTCCTCCTGCCTGAAGAATCATTGCTACATAGTCCTTGTTTCCTTTTGGTCTAGATTACTGCTACTTCTCCTTTAAAACCCAGAAGAGGTGTCCCTTCCTCAGGAAACTGTCCCAATCCCATGTTCCTGTCCCAGGGTAAATTTGGGACCCTTCTGTGATGCTTCTATAGTTCCTGTGATGTTTCTATAGTTCCTGTAATTTACTTTCATAATTATTTTCTAATTATTTCTTAAAAGGCTCCCCCAGAAGACTATGAACTCCTTAAAGACAGGGATTGTGCTTAATTCATCTTTAGATTCTCAATGTTGGTGAACTTGGTGGCACCTAGTAGACCCTCAATAGATGTTTGTATAATGAGCAAATAAAGCATTAGATCAGCTCATGAGATTATGTAATTTTTACCTGTCATTTCTCTACATTTAATGAGCTTTTAATTACTCCCTCAAACTCTTTGAAATCTTAAGTCCAAAATATAGAATTATTTGGGCTTGATTTTAAGAAGAAAGCCATGATCATTAACATAATACTGGCACCTGCTTTAGTTTCTTTTCACACTTAAGACCACTCATAACCTACCTTTTCAGGAATTAAATAAATCTCTTTAATTTTATGTGACAATTGAAAATATATATTTAAATACATTATGTGGAAATATAATCTTTTAAACCTTATTCAAGGTAAAATAGTGTTTCTGTCGTGGGTAGAATTTAGACATTGAAGTGCCTTCTAGAAGAGTTTATCTATTCTGAACTTATTAATAAAAGTAAAATTTAGTCTTCAGATACTCAGTGATGGGAGAAAATATGAAATCTGTAAGCATTTCAGAAATAGGCAGACTGCAAAACCTTTTATTTCCTATTCAAGAATTACATGACACATTCACGAGAAAGCAAATTGAAGGAAGTGACAGGAAAGATACAATCAATTAAGCATGGAAAGGGTTTTCAAAAAATATACATGAAATTCTGAATGTTTGAAATTTCAAGTATAAACTCTAAAGCTGTCATTTTTTACTTGTCTCTTAGAAAGGTTTTTCTAACAATTTTGATGGCATACAAATATATATATATATATATATATAATTATTATTATTTTTTTAAAAACCAAAAACCAAGTTTGGCTAAACCTAAGTATTTTTAACTATATAGAGGTATAGGAAGCTCTGTAAAATTCAGGCGAAAACCTCTTTCTTCCATTACCTTTTTTTTTTTTTAGACGATCATGTTTCTCAAATGCTTCTCTTTTTATGTGGATAAGATCATGTTACCAAGTCTAGGTAGTTCCTGCCTGAGCTACAGAACACCTTTCCCTCATGCTTGCAGGCAATAATCATTCCATTTTATGTTTTGTCCAGAGACTCACTTGATAAACTGCTGATGCCCTGCTTTTACCTGAACTCATCGACATAGGATAAAATCAAACTAAAGATTTTTTTGTTCATAAAATTGACACATGGCCAATGTAGACACTTTATAAAACAGAAAACTGTAAAGAAAAAAGCCCATAAAATCACTCATATTCCCACCATTCAGGAATAACCACTGTTAATCCTTTGACATATTTCCTTGTTCAAAAAAGGATTTCAGTGGGGGAGGGGTGCTTACCAATCCTTGCTTAATCCCTATGTCTTATTTCACTCATCATCTTTACCATGTATCTTTCCAGTATATATTGTATTCTCAACACAGGTGGATCATGCAGTTGTCTACACTAGGATGCTGGAGTGTCTTTTTTGTTCTGAGGGCATTTTGACAATATAATATCTTTGCTTTTGCATGGTAAGCTTAGCTTGCTGGTAGCAGGGTACTCTGCCTTGTATCCCTGTGAACTTTTATGCCCAGTATCTGCTCTGCTTTCCAACCTCCTCATTCATATTTGGGAACTATCAGCCGGTTAGTTTGTGTCAGACTGTGATGATGAATTAAGTAATGTCTTTCCCCTTCACAGCTGGGAGGACATGCTCAAGCCATCAGTTGACGTGCTCCAATGGTGAGTGTGTTCCAAGGGAATACCTGTGCGACCATGTCAGAGACTGCTCAGATGGAACTGACGAGAGAGACTGCCGTGAGTCTGTTTCAGTCTTTGCACTGTATTTAGTTTCACCCTTGTCCCTTTGGCATTTTAATCAATTTGTTAGATTTGTTGATGGACAGAAATGCCTACAATACTCCTCTTGTTGTTGAAATCTCTTGGCAGATTCTTTTGTGGATTAAGGGTGATGTTCTGATAGGAGTCTATTTTTAACAAGACATTGTAAGTTTGTCCTGCCTTACTTAGCCCATCAAGTTTTTGCATGTTTTGAAGTAGGAAACTTTTAACATAGAATCTAGAAAGATGATTGAAGATGCTGAGTATAAAATAGAGTTTGGTCAATTTTAACTTTTATTACACTGCTATAGAAAATTGGTGGATACAGTTTCTCATTAATTTTTTTCCCGCTTTTGTGGATACCACATTTTCCAGATTATCTTTGTAAAGTATTATATTCTGAAAATGGCTTTCCTGGGCTGGGGTGTAGCTCCCCTCCCTTCCCCGCCTGGAAATGACAGGCAGAAGGAGAGCAAATGGTTTTTCCTATAATGGCCATATATCAGTTTGTAACTGATTGCCATAAACTAAGGCATATAAGTCACAATATTCTGTGTGTAATACATAGATATTACCATAACCAAAGCAAGAAAATACAGACATGTTGCATTATGTACTAACAAGAGTCAACTGCCTCTCTTGAGTTTTATACCAAATTGTTAGAATGAATATAAAAATATAGAAATTAGCTACTGTGTCATTTTTTAAAATTTTTGAATGTAATACTGGGGATTGAACCCAAGTCATTGTACATGCTAAGCAAATGCTCTGTCTTTGAGCTACATTCTCAGCCGTTTTTTAAGTTTTGAGTTAGAGTCTGGTTAAATTGCCCACGTTGGCCTCAAACTTCCAATCTTCATGTCTCAACCTCCTGAGAGGCTGGGATTACGGTCGTGCACTACAGTACCTGATCTTGTGTCAGGTTTATAGTCAATCTAGTTCTGTCTTTAACCTTAGAAATACCCAGTTTCTCTTAAAAGTCTGCCATTGTGAATTTATCCATAACTTCCTTGAGTTTTTATACGTTTCTTCCTGACATTATTTTTAGCATACTCCTGTGTAAGTTTATCACATGCTTCATGGAGATGCTTCCTTTGTTTTGCTCTTAAATTTATGTTTAAAGCTTCAAGGAAGCTTTTTTGTCACCGTGACCAAAATACCTGACAAAAACAATATTCAGGAGGGAAAGTTTATTTTGGCTCATAGTTTCAGAGGTTCAGTCCATGATATGCTGACTCCATAGCTCTGGGCTATGGTGTGGTGGAGGAAAGCATCTCTGAACATGGCAACCAGGAAGCAGAAGGAGCTCTGCTCACCAGGGACAAAATATAAATCCCAAAAGCATACCCCCTATGATCTACTTCCTCTAGGCATACCCAACCACTCAGTCAATCCATATCAGTGGATTAATCCACTGATTAGGTTACATCTCTCATAATCCAGTCATTTCACGTCTGAAAATTCTTGTATTGTTTCACACATGAGCTATTGGTGGACACCTCAAATCTAAAACACAACATCAAGTATTCCAATAACTGGTGAACAGATTTTATGTATCTTAGAAACTTTGATCAAATGCTTCTCAGTTATTATGTATCCAGTGAATTTAAGTTTTAAGCTTTAGCCTGTTCTCATGGGATACCACCTCTACTGTTTGAAAATTTTGATTTAATTTTAGTTCTCTGGGCTCTCTCTAAGTCCCTTCCTTTGAGCCAAGTGGTATATTTTATGCCTCTTAATGAAAGGTCTATTTTCTATAATTTTTTTAAACTAATCTTTTCAACATGGTGCCATGTATAGGGTGGAAGCTTACATAAATTAACTATGGTAAGCAAGTTGCTTCTGTTAATGGAGGAAATATTTGTACATAGAAATGGAAAGACCTGTGCCTGGGTTCAATCCCTAGAATCATACAAAAAAAAAAAGAAAGACACAGTAACTAATTCCTATATTTTTATATGTCCAGATTCATATTGAATATGAACCATTCCCACTCTTGTACAATTTTATTTTATTTTGTGTTGCAATACTGGGAATCCATCCCAAGGTCTCACGTAGGCTAGGCAAGTGCTCTACCACTGAACTACACCTGAAACCCCATGCTTGGACATTTTAAAAACAATACTTCTCCAGTTTTTCTTCCATTGAATGTTACTTACTTCACTTATTTTTCTTTTTTTGAAAGAAAGGTCTGTGCTATTTATCTATTTTCTAGCAGAATTTCTGGTACATTTATATTCTGGAATAATTTTCATTCTAAATGTTCTCTTTTGAAAGAGATTATGGTACCTCTAATTTGAATTTCCCTTCACTTTGGAAATTATGCAGAGCATTTAGATCTCACACTAGTAGTTTTAGAGATGGTAGTGCACAGCCAGCACACAAGTCAAGGACTCTCACGACTTTGTGAGGCAAACACTAGGTCTTTCACTGAGACAAGTGAAGAAAATATTTTTGATTAATTACGGTGATAAATCATATATTTTTGCAACATTTTGTAAATTTCAGGTCGTTATATAAATTATTATTATTATTAGATTCCTTAATGAGAACAATAAGGCAGGCAGTTATTTACTCTCTTATGAATAAAGAAATGAAAACTTCAAAGGGTCTAGACTGGCTCATTCAAGATTGTGTGGCAGAGTTGGTGCTTGGCTCATTGTCTGGTTTCACGTCTAGAGATTGCCCCTCATGAAGGACAGAAGAGGAGAGTCCTCCCTTATGCCAGTTTAAAAGAGTACTGGAGGCTTGTGTCACCCGCCAATAGCCTGTATCTTTATCCCTTATTTGCAAGTGGATAAAAATGAGTGCCTTATTGCAAATGCAATGGAAATGCTACTTTGGGGAAAATAAAAGGCAGCTGAAACAGACGGTTTGGACGTTTTCCATGAGCACCCTGCAGCCAAGTCTAAAGTTGCTAGTACAACTGCCTCACAACTTTGCCAATGGACCGTCTGGAAAAGCCTGGCAGGATATGAGCATGCAAGTAGCCCTGATAAAAGGAATGAAGGGAAGAAGCTGAGCTTTATAAAATAACTAAGTAGGAATTTTTAATCAAACATTTTTATTAAAAAATAATTCAGTACAACTAATTGGTGAAATAAGTATTCGTTTAGAAAGACATCAGGATTTATAGCTGGTTCTTTCTGGAATGATGTAAATCATCAACTTTTCAGGACACAACATGACCCTAAACACAAGTTTTTTTTCCTTGTGGTACTGGGAATTGAACCAGGGACACTTACCACTAAGCTATATCCCTGCCCTTTATATTTTTAATTTTGAGACATGTTCTTGCTAAATCGCTGATGCCAGCCTTGAACTTGTGACCCTCCTGCCTCAGCTTCCTTAGGGATAATCCTGGCTGGGATTATAGGCGTGTGCTTCCATGCCTGGCTCATATAAGGGATTTTGTGATGAGATCTTCTTTCCTATTTCCCTCTACCTTATTTTTTTGTTTTTATTTTTTTTATTTGTGGAAGAGTGTTAAAAACCCTCACACTTTGGAGGAAATTAAGAAAAGGATCTTCATACTTACTCATTAGTGCTTTGATCTGTTGATAGCCAGATAGACACAGAAGGAAATGAATGGCCAGGATCAAAGTCCTTAGAAAGTGGCAGTATGGTGGTGGGGCAGGATTGGCTCTGTTTTGTTTTCCCTCTGTTTGAGGCTCTTGTGGAACATGGGAAAGGGGACTGCCATTCACTAAGCACCAGTCACTATGCTGGGCACTTTTCTCATTGGCAGGTGTCATCTCCTGCTTTATGGAGATGATAAAGTTTACCAAGAAGCCAGGGCAGAAGAGTCGTAACATTAACCTACATTTAAACTGTCGGTGCTCCATGCTCTTAGAATACTTTTCTTTAACAAAAAACATTTATAAAATAGTTTTGCCTGAAGATTACTTAGCTATTTAAAAAAAATTATTTCACTGTGGAGGTTTTAACATAGGAAAGCAGAATGAACTGTATAGTGAATCTCTTTCTACTTATCACTCAGTTATAACAACTATCAGTTCATGAATAGTTTCATTTTACCTACATCCATTTATTCTCCTCACACCATATTATGAAGCAATTCTCAGGATCATATAATTTTATCTGTTAATATTTTAGTATTTATCTGTATAATAAACAAAACCACAATATCATTATCATACCTAAAAAGTTAAAACAACTGTTCTTTAAAATAATTAGATATATAGTCAGTTTTTTAAAAAAATTCCCTAAATTGTCTTGCTATTATTTTTACAGTTTGATTACTTAACTTAGAATCCAAATAAAATATTTATGAAGGAGGTAATTGATATATTTCTTAAGAATTTTTATTTGGAGGTTTTTTTTTTCCATTTCTGTTCTTTACTCCTTACAATTGGTGAAAACAAAACAAAGCAAAACAGGTTACTTGTCTTGGTGTTTTCCACAATCTGGACTTTGCTTATTTCATCCTCAATGTCCTTTAACATGTTCTTCTCGCCTTTGAATTTCCTGGAAATTGCCTAGATCTGAAATTACCTAGATGTCAACTGTAGCACTAATGACATTTGGGGCCAGATAAATTTTTATTATGCTGGGCTGTCTTGTGCATTATGGAATGTCCAGCAGTATCCCTGGTCTCTGTGTATTTGAGTACCTCCCAGGTGTGACAACTAAAAATGTCCTCAAATTTTGTCAAACATCCTTTGGGACAAAAATCACCTTCGTACTGCTTCAATTAAAATGACTAATATAGAATATTCTGCTCTAATGCCATCCATTTCCCTGCAAGTTCCATGATTTTGTCATTTTTTAGTGCAGAGTAATACTCCATTGTGTATAAATGCTACATTTTTTAAATCCATTCATCTATTGAAGATTAACATTAAACAGGGACGAGAGGTGGGAAGGAAAGGGAGAGAGAAGGGAAATTGCATGGAAATGGAAGGAGACCCTCATTGTTATACAAAATTACATATAAGAGGAAGTGAGGGGAAAGG